GGAGTTCAGGACCAGCCTGGCCAACATGGTGAAACCCCATCTCTACCAAACATACAAAAATTAGCCAGGCATGGTGGCAGGCACCTGTAATCCCAGCTACTTGGGAGGCTGAGGCAGGAATCACTTGAACTCAGGAGGTGGAGGTTGCAGCGAGCCAAGATCGTGCCATTACACTCCAGCTTGGGCAACAGAGTAAGACTCAGTCTAAAAAAGAAAAAAAAATTGCCGGGTGTGTGAGCCTGTAGTCCCAGCTACTGGGGCGGCTCAGGCAGGAGAATCCTGAGCCTCCACCTGGAGGTGGAGGTTGCAGTGAGATAAGATTGTACCACAGCACTCCAGTCTGGGAAACAGAGAGAGACTCCATCTAAAAAAAAAAAAAAAGTGTACATTTAAAGTTTTTAATCTCTCTGCATAGTCTCTGTTTCTTACAAGTTGCTTCATTTGTCTCTACCACTCATGTTAGATGCTTTCTTCATGTATCTGGTGATTTTTAGCTCCATTTATATTTGTGATGGAATTCTAAAAAGTTGATTAGAAAAACCAATTGTATTTTTATACACTAGACGGATTAAATAATAATAAAAAGGCAGGAAGACTGGTTTTACTAAATAAAACTATAGTATTTTAAGGTATGATATGGGCACAAAGATAGACAAATAGATTAATAGAATAGAAAGATCTCTTACAGTTGTGTGTGTGCATGTGTGTGTGTTGTTGTTGCTGTTGTTTTGGGGCTGTTTTATTTATTTATGTATTTTTAGCTGGGATTACAGGCGCCCACCACCACGGTCAGCTAATTTTGTATTTTTAGTAGAGACGGGGTTTCACCATGCTGTCCAGGCTGGTTTGAACTCCTGACCTCACGGGATCCACCTGCCTCGGCCTCCCAAAGTGCTGAGATTATAGGCATGACCCACCATGCCTGGCCTATTTATTTATTTATTATTATTATTATTTGAGGCAGAGTCTCGCTCTGTCATCCAGGCTGGAGTGCAGTGGCATGATCTCTGCTTACTGCAACCTCTGCCTCCTGGGTTCAAGCGATTCTCCTGCCTCAGCCTCCTGAGTAGCTGGGATTATAGGTGCACACCACCACGCCCGGCTAATTTTTGTACTTTTAGTAGAGACGAGGTTTCGCCATGTTGGTCAGGCTGGTCTCGAACTTCTGACCTCGTGATCCACTCGCCTCGGCCTCCCAAAGTGCTGGGATTACAGGCGTGAGCCACCACGCCCAGTCACCACTCTTTTTTTTTTTTTTTTTTTTTTTTAATATTTTGAGACGGCGTCTTGCTCTATTACCCAGGCTGGAGTGTATGGTGCAATCTCGGCTCACTGCAACCTCTGCCTCCCGGGTTCAAGTGATTCTCATGCCTCAGCCTCCCAAGTAGCTGAGATTACAGGCCTGTACTACCATGCCTGGCTAATTTTTGTATTTTTAGTAGAGACAGCAAGTTATCTGCCTGTTTCAGCCTCCCAAAGTACTGGGATTACAGGCGTGAGCCACCATGCTTGGCCTTTTTATTTTGAGAGAGAGTGTCACTCTGTTGCCCAGGCTGGAGTGCAGTGGCATGGTCATGGCTCACTGCATCCTTGACCTTCTGGGCTCGACATCGTCCCACCTCAGACTCCTGAGTAGCTGGGACTACAGGCATGCACCACCATGCCCAACTAATTTTTAAATTTTTGTGTAGAGACAGGGTTTTCCTATGTTGCCAGGCTGGTCTCAATTGTTCCTCCCCACTCAGCTTCCCAAAGTGTTGAGATTACAGGTGTGAGCCACTGTGACTGGCCTCAGATTTGCCCTCTTAACCATAGTACTAAAAGCTTTTTTTTTTTTTTTTGAGATGGAGTCTCCCTGTGTCGCTCAGGCTGGAGTGCAGTGGCGCGATCTCAGCTCACTACAAGCTCCGCCTCCCGGGTTCACGCCATTCTCCCGCCTCAGCCTCCGAGTAGCTGGGACTACAGGCGCCTGCCACCACGCCCGGCTAGTATTTTGTATTTTTAGTAGAGACGGGGTTTCACCATGTTAGCCAGGATGGTCTCGATCTCCTGACCTCGTGATCCACCCGCCTTGGCCTCCCAAAGTGCTGGGATTACAGGCTTGAGCCACCGCAATCGGCTAAAAGCTTTTGTTGTTGTGATCGGGTCTAACTCTGTAGTCCAGGCTAGAATGCAGTGGTGTGATCATAGATCATGGCAGCCTCGAACTCCAGCCTCCAGAGATCCTCCTGTTTTAGCCTCCTGAATAGCTGAGACTACAGATGTGGGCCACCATGCTCAGCTAATTTATTTATTTATGTTTTTTGAGATGGAGTCTCGCTTTGTCACCCAGGCTGGAGGACAGCAGCACAATCTCGGCTCACTGCAACCTCCGCCTCCTGGATTCAAGTGATCCTCCTGCCTCAGCCTCCTAAGTAGCTGGGATTACAAGTGTGCACCACCCCACTAAGCTAACTTTTCTAATTTTTAGTAGAGTTGGGGTTTCACCATGTTGGCCAGGCTGGTCTCGAACTCCTGACGTCAAGTGATCCGCCCACCTTGGCCTCCCAAAGTGTTGAGATTACAAGTGTGAACCACAGTGCCTGGCCTGCTTGAACTCCTGACCTCAAGTGATCTGCCCACCTCAGCCTCCCAAAGTGCTGGGATTATAGGCATGAGCAATGATGCCCAGCCTGCTCAGCTAATTTTTAAAAAATATTTTGGGCAGGGCATGGTGGCTCAAGCCTGTAATCCCAGCACTTTGGGAGGCCGAGACGGGTGGATCACGAGGTCAGGAGATCGAGACCATCCTGGCTAACACGGTGAAACCCTATCTCTACTAAAAAACACAAAAAACCAGCAGGGCGAGGTGGCGGGCGCCTGTAGTCCCAGCTACTTGGGAGGCTGAGGCAGGAGAATGGCGTAAACCCAGGAGCCAGAGCTTGCTGGGCCACTGCACTCCAGCCTGGGCAACAGAGCGAGACTCCGTCTCAAAAAAAAAAAAAAAAATTTTGCCAGGTGCAGTGGTTCACGCCTGTAATCCCAGCACTTTGGGAGGCTGAGGCAGGTGGATCACGAGGTCAAGAGATCGAGACCAGCCTGGCCAACATGGTGAAACCCCGTCTTCACTAAAAATACAAAAGTTAGCTGGACGTGGTGGCACATGCCTGTCATCCCAGCTACTCAGGAGGCTCAGGCAGGAGAATCGCTTGAACTCGGGAGGCAGAGGTTGCAGTGAGCTGAGATCACACCACTGCATTCCAGCCCGGTGACAGAGAGAGACTCCGTCTCAAAAAATATATATATATATAAAATATATAAATATATTTTATATATAAATATCATATTATATATTTATGTTATATTATATATTTATAAATATATATTATATATTTATATTATACAAATATTATATATTATATATGTAATCATATATGTGTAATCATATATAATATATATGCAATCATATATAATATATATTATATATTTGTATTATATATTATGCATATAAATCTATATATTTATGTTACACATATAAATCTATATATATATTTTAGAGATAGGATCTTGCTATGTAACCTCCACCTCCTGAGCTCAAGTAATCCTCCTATCTCAGCCTCCCAAGTAGCTGGGATGATATGTGCAGTCTAACACACCGGATTAAAAACTTTTATAATGAGAAAAGAAAGCCTGGGCAACACGGCAAAACTCGGTCTCTGCAAAAAATACAAAAAATAAATAAATAAATAACCAAAAAAAAGAAAAAATAATTAGCTAGGCATGGTGGTGTATGCCTGTAGTCCCAGCTACTTAGGAGGCTGAGGTGGAAGTATTAAGCCCAAGTCGAGGCTACAGTGAACCAACATTACTCCCCTACACTCTAGCCTGTGTGACAGAATGAGACCCTGCCTCAAAAAGAAAAAAGGACCTAGTAACATTTGTGCCAGGTGTATTTTCTCTAACATACATAATAATTTTTTTTTTTGAGATGGAGTTTTGCTCTTTTTGCACAAGCTGGAGTGCAATGGCATGATCACAGCTCACTGCAACCTCCGCCTCCTGAGTTCCAGCAATTCTCCTACCTCAGCCTCCCAAGAAGCTGGAATGACAAACATGTGCCACCATACCTGGCTAATTTTTGTATTTTTAGTAGGGACAGGGTTTCACCATATTGGTCAGGCTGATCTCGAACTCCAGACTTCACATGATCCATCTGCCTCGGCCTCCCAAAGTGCTGGGATTACAGGCATAAGCCACCACGCCCAGCCACATAACAATTTTTTTTTTTTTTTTTTTTACATTTTTGCAGCAGGGCCAGTCATAAGCTGTTACATTTTTTTTTAAGGCCAGTAAAGTAAGGAAAATTTACCCGTGTACTTCCTCAGTTACCTCATGAACTCTCCAGTCCGTGATCCACCAACTTCCAGTCCACACCCACACCCTTTTTTGGGAATCTGATGTATCCCTTTCTAGAAATTCTAGAAGTTTTCCTGAAATTATTTCTAGTTATCTCCTCAGTAAGAAAAATCATTTTTCTTTTCTTTTTTTTTTTTGAGATGGAGTTTTGCTCTTGTTGCCTACGCTGGAGTGCGATGGCACGGTCTCGGCTCACTGCAACCTCTGCCTCCTGGGTTCAAGTGATTCTACTGCCTCAGCATGGGATTACAGGCACCCGCCACCATGCCCAGCTAATTTCTGTATTTTTAGTAGAGACGGAGTTTCACCACGTTGGCCAGGCTGGTCTTGAACTCCTGACCTCAGGTGATCTGCCTGTCTCAGCCTCCCAAAGTGCTGGGATTACAGGTGTGAGCCACCAAACCTGGCCTCTTTTTTTTCTTTTTTAATTTATTTCTTGCTTGAGAAAGAAAAATCATTTTCTACTCAGGTTTTAGATGTAGAATAAAAAGTTAAGGAATAAGGAGAAGGTAGAGGACCAAGATAATTTCGGAAGTGTTGGATGGTTCTAGAAACTGAAATAGCCTTGACAAAACCAAGACAAATAATTAGCATAAATAAAAGTTTTATTGGTCAGTTTGGGTGAGTGACAAACTGACATGCCCCCAATTCACTATTCCACATATCCAAGCCCCTGAGGTGGCAAGAGGAGAAGCTAAGCTTATTAATGGTGGGCAATGGGTGAAAGGTGGAAAGGACTTTGAAGGCCTCTGAGGGTTAACAAGGCTACCGGGACCGGAACCAACGTCCTAGGAATAAGTCCAGGATGGAGAAGGCATCATCCAGGGCTGGAGGTCTTGGTGATTCTGGATCTAAGGAAGAAAGTCATACACACAAATAGGCTAAATGAAAGAGACCAGGCAGAAGCAAAGGAGAGAAATAATATTCAAGGGTAGAAGAGTAAGAGTTCCCTTCCCCAAGGAATCTTGAGATGAACCCCTTTGTCTTTTAACTTACCACCCCTAGGACTGCTCTCTGCTTCGTGTCGGGTTACTGTAGTCTCTGTCCGGCCCTCACTGTCCACCACAGTCCGGCGCTCCTCCACTATCTACAAGGAGAAGTCCCCACCATATTCCTCACATCACTAACGATAACGCTCAGCAGTTTCTAACGATAACGCTCAGCAGTTTCTTTACAGAGATCCCTGTTTCTTTACAGAGATTCCTGTTTCAGGGCATTCATTCCCTGGCCACAATTTCCTTTACCTCTTTCTTTCAACTCACCCCATCTGGTTTAGTGATCTTGGTTACAGAGATGCTCTTGAAATAGGATTTGGGCTGGGGCTGTAGAACCGGGCCAAGACCCTCCTGGGAAACCTGGGAATCAAGATCTGGAAGAGCAGAGAGATGAAGAAGCAGGAAAGAAAGAGTCCAAGGGAAAAAAGAAGACAAGTGTACAGGAAGAAACTTCAGGGAGGGAAAATGGACAGAACTTCAGAAGAATAACAAAAGGCTGATAAACTTCCCCTTCCTCCAGACTTACCATTGTCCTCTCTGGTTCTAGGATGGGGGTCCACAGGCCATATGTCATCAAACTGCAGAAGAAACCATAGTAAGTGAAAAGACATCTTCTAATCTGAAATTTGAAAGGTCATAGACCTCAAACTAATCCTGAGCTCCAAAACCCACTGCCCCGGGGGAGATAATTCCATTCAGAATAGCTTTATTTATACACTCCTTCCTCCTTCCTGGCTGTTTTATGTATCCTTCTACCAGAAAGACTTCCTGAACTGATATATGTCTATACTTTGTGCACAATCCTGCCTTATCCAAGAATTATCTAGACCAGTGGTGGTTTATTGTTTTTTTTTTTTTTTTAAGAAACAGAACACCCATCTCCCCCCCCCCAAAGAAAATCCCACAAGCTTAATAGAGAAAACAGAAAACACTAAATGGAGGGCTTAGGATTCCAGCCCAAGGCTGTCAGATTCAAACAAGAATTGCAATCTTTGGCCAGGCATGTTGGCTCACACCTGTAATTCCAGCACTTTGGGAGGCCAAGGTGGGTGGACCACCTGAGGTCAGGAGCTCGAAAGCAGCCTGGCCAATATGGTGAAACACCGCCTTTACTAAAAATACAAAAATTAGTCGGGCGTTTGGCAGGTGACTGTAATCCCAGCTACTCAGGAGGCTGAGGTAGGAGAATCACTTGAATCTGGGAATTGGAGGTTGCAGTGAGCTGAGATTGTGCCACTACACCACAGCCTGGGTAACAGAGCAAGGCTGGGTCTCAAAAAAAAAAAAGTGCAATCTTTGTACTTTTTTTTTTTTTTTTTTTGACATGAGTCTCCACCTCCTGGGTTCAACCAATTCTCCTGCCTCAGCCTCCCGAGTAGCTGGGATTACAGGTGCCCGCCACCACGCCCGGCTAATTTTCTGTATTTTTAGTAGAGACATGGTTTCACCATGTTGACCAGGCTAGTCTCGAACTCCTGACCTCAGGTGATCCACCCTCGGTCTCCCAAAGTGTTGGGATTACAGGCGTTAGCCACCGCGCCTGGCCAGTCTTTGCACTTTATTAGTGGTCTCTCACAAGCTCTCACTTTAGGACCCGATGGGATACTCACACTATGAAATGGTCTCTGGGAGCCCCAGTCTGGTGCTGGTTTGGGGGATTCACTTCTTCCATCACTCTCCAAGACCCCCCCAAAGATCCTGGGCTGGTGACTATCTGGATACTTAAGCATTGAGTCCCGAAGTGTCTGTCCCTCCCGCAGTCTCTCACCAGGTGTCTCTGACTCAGGACCTGGGAGTTCTGCAGAAAGGTGGCAGGTGTTTGCTGGGGTGGGAAAGGACTTGGGCTCTATAAATCTCCCTGAAATCATCAGTCTTCTCACACTTCCCATCCCCCAGCTACTCCCTGCAGGCTCTTTATTTCACCCACCAACCCACTAGAAACCGCAGGTTGTCCCTCAGGGAAAGCCACACACCAGGAGGATGGGAAGGCAAGGTCCAGGCCCCCATATCGCTGAAGATGCTATTGAAATCTCGTACTAGGTCATCAAAGCCGAAGTTATCGTGGAAACGTATCCCTCCTCCTGGGCTGAAGCTGAAGCCGAAGCCAAATTCCTCAGGGGGGTGCTGAGGACTATGGAACCTTGGGTTCCCACGGCCCCATGAACCCCCTTCTTCCTCTTCTTCCTCATCATCATCTTCATCTCGAGTCATCCCTCCAAAAAAGGGATCTCTGTGGCTGAGAGTGGAGGCAGATTGGCCACCAAGATGTCAGCACGATTTAAGCCATAAAATCAACTCATGGGTGGCAAAGTGGGACAAGAGCAAGTGGTCTGGGAAGCTGGGGAGAGGGTCGGAGGACTGGTTGCCGCATCAAAACATTAATACAATGGCTGACAGTTCTTTCTTTCTTTCTTTTTTTTTTTTTTTTTTTTTTTTTTTTTTATCAAAGTCAGACCTCAGCTCGCAGCTCCCTTCTTACACCTTCCCCCAGAGTCCCTCCCCTCCCTCCCAAGGTCCTGCTCACTTGCTCACTGTCCTATTCTCCCGACCCCCATTGTCTTCCCCGCCCGGGTCCCTGTTGCATCACCCCAGGTTGGAGAAAGGCTTAGTTTGCTGTTTCTCCTCTTAACGACCGCCTTGGTTACTGTGGCGGGGTGAGTATTCAATGTTGCGACTTCTGTCCTCTCTACAGGAGTTGAAGGAGTGGGACAGAGGATGTTTTTCCAAAAAATAAGACGTAGGGGTCAAGCTCCCCTCAGACGACCCCCACCCTTGTCCAAGCCGGACCTACTCTCACCTCCGAGGTCCAGGAAAGCCGAAAAAGCCCCGGAAGAGATCAAAGAGGCTCATTCCCGTATTGGGACGCGAACCTTTGAACCCCTCCAGTGGTCCATTCGCAGAAGGGGCAAACCTGCGCAGCCCTGTGGGAAATTGAGCGAGGCGTCAGCCCACGCTACCGGAAAGCAAGCCCGCGATCCTGACACTGTCGTAAACGACTGTAAGCCGGACATGCAAGGGAGGCGGGACGGAAAGTCTTCCTCAAATTTGAAAGGCTTTATCTTTACCCCACCTTTTAGAGACCAGTTTCCGTGACGGGAGTGAGCGTGACGCACTTTCAGTTTCCTATGACCGCCTTCCTCCTAAACCTGTTCTTCTTTCTGGAGACAACTCAGTCCGAAAAGCGATTTCGAGGGTTTGACTCTGGATGGCACCCGCATAAAGCCGCCAGAGGGCAGCCCAGCCGCACAGATGAACCGGCTTGAGGGCATCCCTCAACCTCCCCACCCCCGGGGCTGGCCAGCCTAACAGCAGAAGCCACCTCGCCTCTTACTCGGGCGTTCCTTTTGACTGACCTGGGTGACGTCTGCTGTTAGAGGGATGAACAAATGAACAAAATGCTTTTCCAAGCTCTTTCTAGTATTGAATTCCCCAGAGATCAAGACATGAGACGCATGGACTTAACTTCCTCCACCTCTCTAGCTACTAGGGAGTTTGTTATAACCATATAGGATTCTTTTATCTAAGCAGGCTCTGCAACCAGCAAGACAAAGGATTTGTAAGGGAAGGGAAACTAGTTGTGTCCTGAGAAGGAACAAATTGGGGACGATAAAGAAGTATCCCTTTGGTATCTTTTTTTTTTTTTTTTTTTTTTTTTTTGAGACAAATTTTTCTCCCATGTCTCCCAGGCTGGAGTGCAGTGGCACCATCTCGGCTCACTGCAACCTTCGCCTCCCAGGTTCTCTCCTGCCTCAGCCTCCTGAGTAGCTGGGATTACAGTCATATGCCACCCTGCCCGGCTACTTTTGTATTTTTTGTAGAGACGGGGTTTCACCATGTTGACCAGGCTGGTCTCGAACTCCCGACCTCAGGTGATCTGCCCACCTTGGCCTCCCAAAGCGACTGGCCTCATTTTGTGCCTATCCGAAACCTGTCTCTCCCTGTACCCCATCCCCAAGCCAGACTTGGCTCTAGATTCTTTTTCAAAGAATTGGGTATAGCTATGTCACAGAAAAGCACCCAAGAAGCAACTACTACAGTAGTCCATTCCTAGGGGGAATGTGCCCCAAGGTTTTGGTTTTTTTATTTCGTTTTTGGGGTACAGGTGGTGTTTGGTTACATGGATGAGTTCTTTAGTGATTTCTGCGACTTTAGTGCACCCATCACCCGAGCAGTGTACACTGTACCCAGTATGTAGTCTTTTATCCGTCACCCTACTCCAAGATTTAGTTCTGTCAGACGATACATGTTGCCTTCACTTCTTTTTAGTTTATTTACCTGGACCCATTTAAGTCATAACTTAAAACTCTTTAAAGCCATTTTTTTCCTTTGAAATGGTCTCAGCTCCTTCTTGATCCTCTCCATTTTCCACCCAATCTCCTCTATCCCTCTCCCTTTACTGCCTGAAATCGGCTGTAGATGTAGCAGTTTCTGGAGGAAATGAAGATTTGTGGTGGTTCTTTCCAGTCAACAGGTTGTGAAAGTCTTAGGGGTGAAGGGAAGGAAATCCCCTCAAGGACAAGATACTACTACCACATTAAGGTCAGGAGTTCTTAAAGGGCGAAGATTTCATTTTATTCCACTGCCTTCAGGGGCCTGCTAGAGGAGGCCCCGTTGGTACAGTAATACTTATTCACCAAGCTGGTCATCGACGAAATTGAGGATGTCCTAGACGGAGCAAGAATAGGCAGAGGCTGAAGGTAGAGGTTTTCTTTTTATATATACAAGACACATTAATCCATTAAATTTGAGGACACAGTACAAAAAAAAAAAAAAAAAAAAAAAAAAACACTTCAACTAATTCATCTGACAATGCTGTTCATATTCATGACGCCATTTTTTTTTTGTTTGTTGTTGTTGTTTTCCTAATAATAAAGGAGGAGACTTAGGGCTGTTGGGCTGATATATATTTGGGGGTCCCACCTCCCCACCTCATCCGTACACCACCAGGGTGAACAGGAGGAAGCAAAGGAAGGGCAGGGCCCATAGCAAAGTTTCATAATCTTGAATGCAAGAGGGGAGAAGGAATGGAAGGGGGGAAAAAAAAGGAGAAAATACAAATCCTATAATACATACAACAGGGTGGGGATGGTATAGGAATGGGACAGACATGAAGCTGAGGCATGGGGTGGGCCGCTGGGGGTGGGGGGCAGCGGAAACCCCCCACATTCCTTTCTCTTTGATGTTGTTTCCATAGTTTCCAGGCTGAGAAGCCCTCTCAGAAGATGGGACCGGGAGAAGAGGGTCAGGGCCTCAGTTGGCCCCCCAGCTGTAGCTGTTGTAGGCAGACTTGTTGGTCTGGGGCTTCTGCGGGATGGAGCTGGTCTGGCTACGTTGCCCGCTGCCCGTCTGCAGGGGAATGGGAGGATGATGGGGAGGAAAAAGGTGTCTAGTTAGTGGTACAAATTTGTAACATCTTCAGGTGGAGATGTGCAAACTGTCTTGCTCTCCCATTCCCCTCACTACTATTAGAACCATAGAAAATTTAGTCTGCATAGCTGCTAAAGCCCCTTTCTTACAAGCAGGAAGGCATTTTTGACTTTTAAATAGGGAAAAGATGAAGAGGGCAAGATACCTTTGGAGATAAGGTAGTGAGTTAGTTCTACTCATTTTCAATTCTACCTTCTCCTACTACCCCTTCTCTCCCCTGCTCTTGGAGATGAGTGATCACGAGGCAATTTCATTTCCATTGATCCCCATGAATGCCTCAATTTGGAAAGCTGTCTTTGAGAGGAAGGAAGTCCTTATTCCAGCTCCAGCCACCTATAATGGAGCTCTCAAGAGGCCACTTGCATTGCCCCACAGATCCCCACCCCTACCACACATCACATCTGTGAGCCCATTTCAGGCAGGTACAAGAGGCAGTCTGAGGCCTCAGGCTGCAGATGCTGCCCCAATAATCTTTTCCATTCTGGTAACCAAATGTTTTCCACAGTTGGGGAAGGGTACAAAGATAAAGAGGGTGTTGGGGAGGGGAGAAGGAGAGAGGAAGGGGAGGCCAGAGAGCTCAGCAAGGTGTTTGTGTTTGTGTATCCCGATTTGTGACCGCGCAGTCTTTTCAAGTTCCCTGAGGCTGTGAAGGTGAAATGGGGACTGAAAAGGAGTGGGTTCAAGCATATGATCATTCAATTTCATTACCTGCTCCTCCTGCTGGCGCTGGCAACAGAGAATCATCTGCAAATATGGTAGCTGAGGCAGAACCAGGATATATGGAAAATAAAGGGACAAACTTTGACAATAGAACTCCACCATTAGAAGGGAAAGCTAAAATGTCAGGGAAGAGGGAAGGCTGGGAAAGGAAAGAAGGGAGGTGTGACCCAGGTCTGATGGGATGAGGACAACTGTGGCACAGGAGGAGAAGGGCACCAAAGGAATTGGGCAAAAAAGGTTTCAATCTGGCCCCTTCTCTGAGATATCCTTTGCCGGCCGCTCGTGTTATGTGCGCTTGTGTCTGTATGTGCTGTGTGCCCATGACTGGCGCTGGGGAGGGATTGGGTGAAGGTGGTGGTGAGGAAGGGTAAGAAAAGGAAAGGGAAGGCAGTTTTGAGGGATAGGAAGAGGAAGGGAAAGGAGAGAGGGGGAAGGGCTATTACCTGGCCATCCTGCTGCAGGTGATGGTGAAGGATCTGAGAGTGCGGCTGCTGATGGGGGGTCAGAATGTGCATAAAGGGGGCAGGTGGGTAGGCAGCAGCTGTGGCCGGATTGATGGGGCCCCCACTTCCTAGGGCTGAAGGCAAGTTGAAGGAAGCAGCAGGAGTACCGGAATGAAAACCTTGTTTCTCAAAGGACTGCTATCCAGGAGGCCAGGAGGAGACAGAGTAAAAGGGATCAGCAAGCCAATCTTGGGATTTTCCTGAGCTCAAGCTCCCTGACCCTCAGAAAGCAGCATGGTGTCACAGAAGGCACAGTACACTTGAAATCACATATTCAGGTCTCAGTCTCAGCTCTGCTCTTATTTAATAACTGTGTGAACCTAGGCAAACTACTCAACCTCTTAGCCTCAGTTTCGTCAGATACAAAACAGGGACACTACAAACCTGTTGTAAATAAATAGGCGGGCGGGGCTCAAGCTGTAATCCAGCACTTGGAGGCGAGGGGGGATACAGGTCAGGATCAGACCAAGTGAACCCGTCTACTAAAAACAAAAATAGCCGGTGGGGGCCTGTAGCACTAGGAGGCTGAGCGAGAATGGCGGAACCGGGAGGCAGTGAGCCGAGATGCACTCCAGCCTGGGAACACGAGACTCCGTCTCAAAAAAAAAAAAAAAAAAAAAAAAAATCAAATAGGCTGGGCACGATGGCTCACACCTGTAATACCAGCACTTTGGGAGGCCGAGATGGCCGGATCACACAGAGTTCGAGACCAGCCTGGCCAATATGGTGAAACCCCATCTCTACTAAAAATACAAAAATTAGCCAGGCGTGGTAGCGGGTACCTGTAAATCCCAGCTACTTGGGAGTCTGAGGCAGGAGGATCACTTGAACCTGGGAGGCAGAGGTTGCAGTGAGTCAAGACTGTGCCACTGCACTACAGCCTGGGAGACAGAGGGAGACTCCATCTGAAGAAAAAAAAAAAAAAAAAAGGCTGGGCACAGTGGCTCACGCCTGTAATCCCAGCATTTTCGGAGGCCAAGGTGGGCGGGTCACCTGAGGTTAGGAGTTTGAGACCAGCCTGACCAACATGGAGAAACCCGGTCTCTACTAAAAATACAAAATTAGCCAGGCATAGTAGCACATGCCTGTAACCCGTTACTCGGGAGGCTGAGGCAGGAGAATCGCTTGAACCCGGGAGGTGGAGGTTGTGGTGAGCCAAGATCACGCCATTGCACTCTAGCCTGGGAAACAAGAGTGAAACTCCGTCTCAAAAAAAAAAAAAAACAACCAAAAACAAACAAAAAGACTAAGTAAGAGGATGAAATGTGG